CGCAAGACCGCCGCCGCGACCAAGCCAAAGAAGGGGCTGACACCCGAACAGCGGGCAAGGGAGTCGACCAAGAGGAAGGGTCGAAGGCACGCCGCGGACGCGAGGGATGAGGCCGTCGTGCAGGCCGCCGCCGCCGCCGCGTAGCAGGAGTTGACCAACGCCCGCGTCGCGGTGGCAACGAGGGAGGCGCTCTACATGCTAGGGGTAAACCCTAGCCAGCACAGCCTCGTCCAAGCCGCCGTCGCCGCAACCAGCACCAGGTCGTCGGCTTTTCCTCGGATGGTGCTGCCCGACTCACCCCGCGCGTCGGCTTGCAACCCGGTCCCCGACTTCCACGTCTACCCGCAGGCCTCCCGCCTCTCCGGGGAGTGCTCGCCTGACGTGAGCGTGGTCGCGCCTTCCACGCCCGCACCCGCGCCCATCGACCTCAACGCCACCCCGGTGGTCGGTGGCTCGTCATCCGGCGGCACGAGGAAACGCGCGCGGCAGATGTCGGCCGGCGGGCTCCCGGACGCCCGTAACCTGTTCGAGGAAATGCCGTCTGCCGTCGGCGAGGACTACATGCAAAACCTCATCTTCGAGGGTGGTGCACCGGGCGCTGGCTACGATCGCGACCAGCACCAGCTCGTCGGCGTTTCCTCGGATGGTGCTGCCCGACTCACCCCGCGCGTCGGCTTGCAACCCGGTCCCCGACTTCCACGTCTACCCGCAGGCCTCCCGCCTCTCCGGGGAGTGCTCGCCTGACGTGAGTGTGGTCGCGCCTTCCACGCCCGCGCCCGCGCCCATAGACCTCAACGCCATCCCGGTGGTCGGTGGCTCGTCATCCGGCGGCACGAGGAAATGCGCGCGGCAGATGCCGGCCGACGGGCTCCCGGACGCCCGTAACCTGTTCGAGGAAATGTCGTCTGCCGTCGGCGAGGACTACATGCAAAACCTCATCTTCGAGGGTGGTGCGCCGGGCGCTGGCTACGATCCCGACAAGACACAAAGCCAGGATGGCCGCGGGGCGTTCACGCCGGCCGCTGGCTATGATCCCGATCAGGCGGCCTTCATGCGTGATCAGGTCGACATCGACCTGGACGGCTTCCTCCTCGACCACGAGTTCCCGGACGACTACGTGCTAGAGGAAGAGGACGAGTGCGACATCGAAGTGGAGCCTTTGTTCGAGGACGAGCTCGCCAACCAAGCCGCCGGTCCTAAGTCGAAGCGCAAGAGCAAGCCCACGAAGGCGTACACAACTGCCGAGGACAAACTTCTTTGCGAGTGTTGGCGAGACATTGGACAAGACCCAAAGACGGGCGCCGAGCAAAAGCATTCGACCTTTTGGACTCGTGTGCACCGAGAGTTTCATGAGCGCAAAAAGTTTCCACCTTACCAATTTGTGAGCACGCGCGGGTGGGTCTTCATTTTCAAGCGGTGGAGGGTGATCCAACAAGAGTGCAACAAGTTTTGCGCCACCCTTGAGAGCGTCAAGGCCCGCCCTGTGAGCGGCATCGGCATGCAAGACATGGTATGATAGCAAGCAAGCCGCCCTCTTTTGTGTCATCAAGATCATCCTTTTACGTCTTCATTTGCTATCACTTGCCCATATGCTTGCATGGAAACATTTTGTAGGCATTTCAAGCTTTGGAGGCATTCAAGGTTCAACACAATGGCAAGTGCTTCAACCTCTTCCATTGCTATCGGGTCATCAAGGACGAAGAGAAGTTCAAGACGCAATATGCCGCACTCAATGCACGTGGGGGAAGAAAGCCGTGGAGGATGTTGGGGAGGGCGAGCCGGCACGGCCGCGGGGGAAGACCAACTCCAAGAAGGAGGACAAGCGAGATGCGGCCACCAACGCCTTGATCGCAAGCATGGACAGCATGCTGAATAAGAAGGACTCAAGGAAGGAGGAGCGCCGACGTTTCAAGGCGGAGCAAATGGATGGTTTCATGGAGATTCAAAGGAGGAGGCTTGATCTTGACCCCGAGAAGCAAGCCAAGATGTTCGATCTCGAGGCGGAGAAGCAAGCCAAGATGCTAGAGATCGAGGCCGCCAACGCCAAGACCAAGGCGAAAGAAGTGGCTCTTGCGAGCATGATGACCGGGGTGGAGATCATGAAGGTGGATCTCAACACCGTGTCGCCAAGGAAGATGTCGTGGTTCGAGAAAATGCAGGCCGACATGCTCAAGTTCGACGACGAGTGATCTATAGCGGCGAGGGCCATCTTTTTTGTATGCCGACAGGTGTGCTGGCATGACCACAGGAGCCACGATGACGTGGTCGAACTCAAGTCCCACCCTTTTTTGTGTGCTGGCATGTGTGCTGGCTGGCTGGCGAGTGCGCCGGCATGAACTGTGGTGATATTTTCTGAAGCCGGCATTGTATGCCGGCGCTGGCATGGTGCCGGCATGAGACATGGCCGCTGACATGATCGGCCGCGGGCCCTTTTTATTTAAAAGTTGAATGCGGGCATGAAATGGGTCAGCGCGTTGGGCGCACTGCCGACCCAAATGCAAAACTGGGTGGACGCCGGGCGAGCGACCGACCCAAACGGACAAAAAGCGGACAAATGCGTCATCCGTTTGGGTCGGCCAGTTGGAGTTGCTCTTAGCCATTATCGTAATTGTTTACTGATAAATGAATTACTTTATGACAATGGATCGCGCCAAAAAAGCTGTTCGGGGCGAATCAATTTGTGGTTGGATAGTTAGGAGGACAGTGATATCCTCTGTCCACGAGAGTTCAAGTTTTAGGCTTGACATTGGTGCTTGCATAAATTTATTTCAGGTCTTCCGATGATATGCATTTAGTATAAGGAGACGTGTATTGGCGACTTCGTCAATAATGTGTGGGCTTAATCTCTCGGAGGTGCTCATAGGAGTAGGGTATGTGTGCCTGTATAGAGGTGAGTGTATATGTCTATGTACGAGGGTCTACGAGTGAATTATTTTGGTAGCAAAATTAAATTTCTCCAGTAAAAGAAAATGCACTTCCTCGTCTCATCCGTATCCACGCCGCCGCCGTCAACCCACCGCGCCCCCGCAACCCCCTTCTCTCTCTTCCTCTGCCAGGGCCGGCGGCCGCACCCTCGCCGTCGCCTCCGACTCCCTGCTGCTCTCCCTCCCCCTCCTTTGTCGCAGCCTCGATCGATATCGAAAAGATCGCCCAGCACCAACGAGGAGGAATGACAAACCGTCAGTGTCATCTTTTGCTGCTCATCGCCGTTCACGGATTGGAGGTAAGGTGGGGGCACTGCGCCTCCTCCAACTCCTTCTGATCTGCTGATCTCAAAGAGGAATAAGAGAAACAGACATTACTACATTTTATTGCTGAATTTTTCCCGTTACAGTTACACATTTCTGCAGGTCTTATGCTTGCACAGTTACACATTTCAAGTGAAGAGCACTGCATACGTCTGCACATTTCAAGTGGATTGGTAGGTGATAGACTGCTAGTGCTCCTCTCCACCGCTGCAGATCGTTACACAAGTTTTTTTCTGAATGAATTGCAGTAGATGGACACATCCTATTCTACACGAGCAGAGGAACTTCTCAGCATACCGGCTTCTTCAGCAGCAAACAACGGGAGAAACTACGCGAGCTACCAACTAAATACACGCCAACATACAGCTGAAAACAATGTCTATTCTTCGCTAATGCTTGCCTGGCAATCAGGAGACGCAGACAGATTGTGGATCACACATTCTTAATCTGCATATGGTTCTGCTTCAAGTACATCGTCAGCCATTACTGTAAGAGCTACTTAGCTGGTTTGAAGCAACGGATGCTCTACATCACAGGTAACTATATCTGTATATCATGACACACACCAGTTCATCTTTGAGTCGCAGAACCCAGTCAAAGCATATTGATATCACACTGTATATTTTAATAAGAAGTCAAATGTGCGATAAAGCATCGTACTTATTACATGAAACCGTACACGAATTCATATGATGTTCGATACAGAGGAAAGCCACACAAATTCAAATCCAAGCATAGATACAACCGTTTATGCTCAATCAAAGCCACTAGGGCACTCAGGTAGAGCAAGTAAACGGAAATACTTCAGTTGCAATGCACGCTGGAATATAAACACAAAGAAATTAACAGACAAGCAGAACATATTGCAATCCACACTAGCACACGCAAACCATACCGTGGGATGAACGGAGGGGCCCTTCCGGTGTCAAACCTGTTTCTTCCAGCAGGAGAATGTTGCAGCATCGTTGTCATCCTCTTCTTCATCTCCTTTTGCTTCATTTCGAGTTTCTGGTCCATTATGTTTAAGACTAGGCTTGTTTCTATGCTTTTCAATGGCCTCACTCACCTCATTGGGGACTTTGTCACCGTTGAACTCAAGCTCCTTCAATCTTGGAAGTTTGTCGATGCTGGAGAGAGATGTGGAAGATGACCAGACAATTTTCTCGAGCCTAGGAGCAGACCCGCTGTTGAAGACAATCTTGGTGATGGCCGAGCAGTCAACAACAAGGAGGTTGAGCCATAAGAACTCATCTTTTTCTAATGTAATCTCATTCTGTGTTCCACCAAGAGACTTGTCCAAGAGCATCAGACAGCGTATATTTGGTTTCTTGGTGAGCAGTTGTAGAGCATCTACCTCTAACAATGTATCACGAAGAGTCAGCTTAGCTATCTGTTTGGCATCGTGAAGCAAACTGACGCATAAGCTGCTGTTCAACTCAAGCTCTTTCAGTTTAGGAAGACAGTCAACTCCAGAAACAGAGCATTCGCTGCTGATAGACAAAACTATCTTCTCGAGCTCACTGGCTGAACCATCCTCAAAAGTGATATTAGTCAAGTCCGAGTCCTCGACAACAAGGTACTTGAGGCATCTGAATTCACCGCCCTTGAAGTTCAGCATGTGCTCGGTGCATACAATGTGTTGGAGCCTGACACACCTTAACTTGGGCAGCTTGGCGAGGACTTCCATATCATCTTTGCTCAGCAGAGTTTGACATAGAGTTATCTTGGCAAGTTTGTTGTTATCACCTTTTATAAACAATGGAAGAAGACGCCCCTTCTGTATGGTTCCCTTGATGCTTAGTGACTCAAGAATCTTGGGATGTTTTTTTAGGTAAGGTACATTGACTTCTGGTAACTCTGCCTCATGTGGTGTGGCTATGGGAGTAGTGATTGACAGAGAACAGAGACACTCATGTAGGTCACTGATCGCCTTAAGCAAATTCTTGAGGTGACTATCCTTATCATCGATAACCACACCTAGCTTCCTCAGCTGCCATAGCCTTCCAATATCTTTTAAATCATGACTCTGCTTGGCCTTGACATTGGATAGTACCTCCATGTTTACCATTTTGTCGATCCTATGAGGAATCTGGGGATTAGATTCAAAATTGCTTGGATCAATGTGACCAGCAAGCAGACGCTTCAGCTTCAATAGCAGGATATGTGCTGTTGCATGTGGAGGCACCCTAGTCTCTCGGATATCCAGTACCTCTAGCTCACGGAGGTTGTTGATTTCACTGGGTAGCTGGGTAATATCTGTTCTCCTTAGGCTCAGATACTTGAGCAGTAACATCTTGCTGCAGATTTCCTTGAGGTACTCATGTTTCTTCTTAAGAAAGCACAGACAACCTTCTAGATCTAGCACCTTGAGCAGGGATACTTGAGATGATTTAGAGAGCCCCTTGAAGAATTGATCAATTCTATCAGAGCTGCGGAGTTGGAGATCATTGAAAATGGAGAAGTGGCGAGCCAAGTGATGTGACAGGCGTGTCTCGACAATGTGTTGTTTTCTGGCGATTGTGGTAATGAATCCATGAACTGGATCACTTACGACGCAGCTCTTTACATTTCCCATGGTATCGATATCAGCAGGATCAACAAGGCACCGGCCAACGAGTGTGTCAAAACATCGGTTGGCCTGACGCACAGAACTGGGCCAATCTTCCTTGGATGTCAGGCCTTCTGCAGCCCAGCGTGCAATCAAGGTTGACCGCCTGATCTTTTGTCCGGGAGAGAAGATAGCCAGGTACAGCAAGCAGGACTTGTATTCTTTAGGCAGGTCATTGTAAGAGAACTTGAACATCACCTTAGCGATGCTGTTGAATGATGTTGTTGGCAAAGCCTGCAAGGTGCTGCGTAGCTTGAGTAACTCCTCATTGCTCCTCCTGGGGTTAGCATATAAAGCATGAGTGAAGACCTTCATGCAGAATTCATGCGGCTCACACTTGTACAAGATATCTTGAAAAATCTGGGGGTTGTAGCTGTCTTCATTCTTCTGCTGACTAGTAAGCTCGAGTACTATATCATGGTAGAGGCCAGCAAGAGAATAGTCTACAGGTTCTCGCGGTGGATAGCAATATTCTTTAGCAAGTTGGATTTCCATCGTCGCAGTGACGATCATTAAATCGGCGCTGCAGTTTAACAGGCTCAAAGCATTTCTGATATCCTCACATGTGGAAACATCCATGAGCTCATCAACTTTGAGGATAAACAGGGGGGATTCATACTTATTCGAGCGTGGAAGACGATTCAAGTTATTTTTAATCTTGTCCACGAGCCCTTTGATCTTGAGTTGCTCTTTGAACTCGTCCTTCATTTTTTCTATCATCTGATCCACGAAACCGGCAAATATTTTTCCAGAAACAGTTTCTGAGTTTTGATCGGGAGCACCAGGTTCACCTGTCCCACCACCCTTGTCATATTTGCCTTGCCGCAGCTCCCGTAAGATGTCTTCCTTTGCGTCGTGGATGAGTTTTTTTATTTGATCCTCACCCAGTGTAGCCGTTGTGGGCTTTGTAGTTTGCTTGTCCAAGGATCGGTCTTGAACTTGCAGGGGCCTGCTACTGCTGCTGCTGCTGCTCTTGGGGAACAACTTCCGCAGGATGTGTACATATTGTGCCTCATCTAGGTGAATCCATGTCGTCTGCTTACTTTCTTCTTCTTCGTCGTCGTCGTCCTCCTCCTCCTCTTTCTCCTCCATGTGTATGGCTACGTCCCCTCCCCCCTCTTCCATATCCTCCTCACTATGTATGGCTACTTCTCCTTCCCCCTCCATATGCTCCTTAAGCTTCTTGACGATGATATTCTTTTTGTCCCATGCTGGTAATCTATGCATGTCTTTGTTCTTCCCGTTTTGATCTTGTTGAGACGCTGTCTGGAGCAGCAGCTGAAGTTGTTCATCCAGGTCCAACTGATCAAAATCTCCCTGTAGCTTGTCGCCCTTGGGTAGCCCGTCGCCCTTTGCTACTCGACCATGAATACCACTTCTGATTTTGTCAAGCTTTTCATCAATCTTCATCTCTTTGATATTCTCCTCGATGTCAAGAAGAGCAATAGCCCTCTTCTTTTCACGGTAAATTTGCAATCTTCTTATGTAAGCTTCCCAAGACTCAAGATCCACTTGGCCTTCTGTGCCTTGTTCCTGATGGTTGGATTTGGCATGCTCGAGCTCGCGCAGAATGTAGAAGAGAACTTCCTTAGGCCGTAGCGGCATAAATTCCAGGTGTACCACAGGGATGTCAACCACGACAATGCGATGGTAGCCGCCCTGTGGGTTTTGACTGAAAACCCAGGTTTCTTGTACAAGAGCGAGGAGGTCCTGATATGTATAGGGTGCTACGACGACCACGGACAAAGTTTCCCCGGCGTCTGCAGGAATTCCATTCAACCACTCCCATAGCTTTGCCCTGACGTAGTCGTCCAGAGTGCGAGGCTCGGTGAAGGCTCTTGGACCACCTTCTTCTTCGTCGTCGTCCTCGGCCGCAGCAGCAGCATAGTCACCTGCTGCAGCAGCCCGCGGCGACGACATCAATTGCCCCTTCCCTGACTTGTCTGGGACCTCCACGCCATACCTCAACCGCCGCTCACCGACGTCGCGCGCCCGCTCCTTGAGCACGCGCAACTGCTCAGCTGCGCGGTGCTGTGCGGCCAGCTTATGCAGGAACCAGGTCGCCCACCAGAGGTAGCCTCGGAGCCCGCCCCTGGCGCGGTGGATGTCGGGGTTCCCCCTGTAGAGGTAGAGGTCGATGCAGTTGTTGCAGTCCTGGGCGAGCAGCCGCACCTGGTTCATCCAGGTGCGCACCTGCTCGTCGTGCTCGCCGCCATGGGGCGCCGACCTCGCCAGGTGCGCCAGGAAGCTCTTCATGCTCTCCATCTCTTCCTTGATGAACTGCACGTCGTCCCGGACGCCGCGCAGCAGCAGCGCCTCGCTGCGGATGACGACCAGCAGCGAGCTCACGGCGCCCGTCGCGAGCTCGGCCATGGCTCCTTCCTCTCCTTCCGCCCGCCGGCGGGTGGTTTCTGGTCGAACTGGTCTCGCTCTCGCCGGAGGAGCGATATGCTAAGCTGGGAAATGGCGAGGACGCACTGCATGGGATGCTTTCTTGCGCCACGCACTAATTTAATTATCGAACAGTGTCGTCATTCACGCTTGTGCACGTGCTCTCTCGCCGCCCACTGTTTTAACCCTAATACTTTTTTCTGAGGAAATTTAACCCAAATACTTAAAAGTGCGCGCCCACTATTTGAACCTTGGTCTAATCTCCAATGCGTAGTAGGAGCTCTCGACACTTTCCGACAAGCAAACACGCCGCCCCATCTCCAATGCGTAGTAGGAGCCCGGAACAGTAGTATACACTCTACTAGTAGTAATTAATCCCGTTCCATGGCCCACCATGATTGTCTGGTTCATTTTCTTTCTCTTTTCTTTTTGGCAGTACATGATTGGAGCAGCATGCATATGCTTGGAATCATTTCTCGTCACGTGAGGGGTGCTTTGATATTTCAGTTTTGCTAAGTCTCACTCGATCGAGACTTTGTTATGTCTGAGTCCATGGTATCTTCTTTTGATTTTGCATGAAGATTTGTGTAAAAGAAATTTTTTCTGTTTTTTTCTTCTTACATACTATATCACTTAACTTAGACTTGGTTAAGTTTCAGTCGACTGAAATTTAGGCACACCCTTGATATTTTTGTTTGTATCGTGCTCTGTTTGTCATCCGCTCTGTTTTTGATTTGGCGGCGAGGACGCACACATTCTTCTCGTCCGGGAGGGCCAGAGGAGGATGTACGAGTGTTGAATTGGTTCAAAGGAATAGGGCGCGCCTCTATAATTGTTGTTGTTGGGGGTTCAGTGCACGAGCCGAACGGGTTTCAAGATGGCCTGACGCCCTGGTGTAAATCTTGACTTGACTTGACGAACGGTGTCGTCAAGGGCGTTCACACGCACGCACTGTAATGAACATTGTAGCCAGTTGCATTTGCTGCCTCAATAGCCCAAAGGTACCCAAGGTATAGTACGCGACAAATCCTGTCGGTGGATAGAGAAATTGATGCGGTTTGCAATGATCTGGGACCCTGGCTCATGAATGAATTCATGATGATCAATGACAATGAGCGGTTGGGACTGCCATGGGCACCTCTTGTGACAATCATTTGCGCTATACCATTCCACTTGGCCAAAGTAATTGCTTCTTGAACAATACTACAAGCTTATTTACCATGCTTGCTCTGATGCTTGCGGCGCACAACCCAAATTTCCCAGGGGGTGTATCTACCGCACTGATGCTTGTGGTGCACAACCCAATCCCCGCTAGTACTAGTTTGCCCGATCTGAGTCTCTCAAACTATGTTTCAATTTTGATCTGAATTTTCTTGTGACAACATAGATTCATATTTTGTGAATGTGTTAAATTTTAGCGTATTTTCTATGCTGTTTTTTAGCATAGCTTACCAGGCTTACGCTTGGTAAATTTTAGCGTATTTTCTAACATTTATAAATTAGCTAAACTAAATTGGGTGCATCGACAATACCAAATATTGCGGTGTATCTGATAAGATCATCTCTAGCACATCCCACAAGCCGTCGTCCTGAAAAAAATCATTTACGGTATCCCGTAAATGATTATTACAGTAAACGATTTTTCAAGACGCCGGGCGCACTGCAAGAATAGATCCCGCATAGGACACAAATTTAAACAAACTACTTCGCGCTAAAAACAGGTCGCTGGAGTTCACCAAACCAACATAACATACGGG